TAGGTTAGAACCCTCTTGGGTTTAGTTTTTTTTTTTTTGTTTTTTTTTTCTTTGATTCGCCTTTAGGCTAGAACCCTCTAGGGAATCACCTTTTTCTAAAAAGTGGATTCAATTCTAGATTACCCATATCTTTAATTGAATTCGCCATCTTTACTTTCTTGATTTTTCTTTTTATTTTTGATTTTCCTTTTTGATTCTTGATTTTATTCATCTTTCTTTTGTGAAAATCATTCATTCTTTGTCACATCTACTCTCACTTACATTTTGTGCCGATTTACACACTATCACTTTCACTCTCATTATCTCTCCACAATCACACTTATTCTTCACTCCTATTTGTCACGCACACAACATAAGAACCGATTTATATTTTCTCCTACAAAACACCTTCCTCGTGGGACCGATAACTTTTTATATTATAACTTGACACGGTTGTGTACTTGTAACATTTTTGGTACATGTTTATGCCGCATCAAGTTTTTGGCGCCATTGCCAGGGAGGGTCTTAAGTAGGATTTAATTTAATTTGGTTCTTTAACTTGTGTGTTTTTTCTGAAGGAACCGCTTGGAGCTTGAAGATCGCGGATTGGAGATCTAGAACTTGGAGAATTGCTTTTAGGTAACTCTTCTTTCTAGCATTTTCAATTCCATCATTTTTAGTTAGCTTTACAATTAGAGACAATTAGGATAAAAAAAAGGGATTTTATTTATTTTTTGTTGACCATAATAAAATTCACCTTTCACTTGGACATTAACTAACAAGATAATAAACTCAAACAATGTTCACCCTTCTCATAGTTGTTTGATTATTAATCCTAATAAAAAATATAAAGATTTTTTTCATCCTTTTTAGTCGCTTTTAATTTCTAGGGTTGCATTTCATATAGTTAGTAGGAATTCACCAAAGTGATTTGAGCATCTTGATTTGGCACACACTTAAAAATATTTTTAAGGGCAAAACCCCATAATCAAGATAAGGTGAGGGATTTCATCACCCTTTCCTTAGCCCAAAAATCACTAATTTCTCATTATACCATCCAAGCCTAATAAAAGTCATTAGACGTTGGCCCTAAGGATTCGAGCTCAATAAGGAACAAAGAATCCTTAAGTGAACCGGTTTAAGTTTTCTTGGATTAGTTGGTGTCTAAGGCAATGTTTAGGGGTTGCGTAAAGCACTCCGTAAGGAACGAGATACTTAATTGATCTCTGATCACCCTCTAGTACTATCCTTACCTGGCTAACTACCTAGGTAAAACTTTAATCTTTTCACTTTAGGAGTTTTTGGTTAGGAGCTAGTCTAGTTGAGTTAGGTAAACCCTAGAGTTAGAGTGATTAAAAAGTGATTGCTTTTGATTTGTTTTAGTTAGGATTTTTTCTTTTTCTTCTCATAAAAAAACTATTTTTTTCCTTAAAAAAAGGAAGTTGTTTTGGGTGTATGCAAACGTGGATTAGGGATAATACACATCGATTAATTCGTTTTGAACAAATTCCAGAAATGGCATATCCTAATTCACCCGTTCTTCAAGATATGTGCTATCCCATTAGGAATGCAATCCCCTCTTGCATTAGGCTCCCCGAGGCAAATGGAACTAACTTTGAGCTTCAACCGCACTATATCAACATGCTTCTATGATGATTAAAATGAGAGAATTAACTGAAGATGCAGTCAAACTAAGATTTATTCATTTTGCCCTCAAAGACAAAGCAAAAAAATGGCTATACAGCTTACCCATAAATTCCATCATAACTTAGGAGGAATTTATCACTAATTTTCTTAAGAAATTTTTCCTGATCCATAAAACGGTGAAGCTAAGAAATAGCATCATGATTTTAAAATTATCCCGGGAGAACCTTTTTGGAAGTATTTTGACCGATTTAAAGATCTTCTCATCCAATGTCCTCATCACGGTTTAAAAAAATGACGATTATGCCAAATAATTTATGAAGGATTAGATTATTCTGCAAAAACTTCCTTATAGTCAATGTGCTATGGGGATTTCATGAGGAAAAATGTTGATGAAGCTTGAGAGTTTTTAGAGAGTCTTTCTGAAAAAACCATGCAATGGGAACACTGTGATGACCGAGTGTCATCAGTTCCCCAACCCAAGTCCAGTGGTATTTCCTTAGAATCGAACAATGCATATGAAGCTAAGATGGCCACAATAATGCATAGGTTAGAAGCCTTAGAAATCAAGAAAAGAGCCCCGGCTCAAATCAATCAAGTTTTAGCCTTAGGATGTCACAACTATCTGTCACCATCTCATGTTTCAGAAGAATGTCCTCTCTTAGGAAATAATTAGCCATTAGGACAGGTTAACGCTATATTCCAGCGTTATGCAAATGATTAATTCTTTCCAACCTACAACCCAGGTTAGAGAAATCACCCAAACTTTGCATGTAATCAGGGAACTCACTCCGGAACTCAAAATTTCACTCTCTCTTCAAACCAACAATTTCCTAGGTGAAACACAGTTCCTTTCAATTCTCATCCATAATTTCAACAATCCAATCTGCCGTATCAAAATCAATCTCCTCTTCATCAAGCTGTAATTCAGACTCCTCACAATCCAGATCAGAATAAACGTCTCAATATCTTGGAAAGGGGTTTGGAAACAATAGTTAAGGCCTCCACTCAAACCACGAATATGTTGACTCAAACGTCCAGCACTCTGAATTCCTTTATGCAATCAACCGGACAAATGCTCAACTCCAACACTCAAGCTATAGATAGATTAGAATCCCAACTTAGTCAACTAGCTAGTGTCATGAGTGAAAGAGAGAAAGGAAAATGTCTGTGTCAACCCGTGGTCAACCCTAAGGACACAGGATGCAGTTCATCCTATGAAGCTCAAGTGAATGCAATCCATTCACTTCGGTTAGGTAGACAGGTCGATAATCAAGTGAGAACTCCTCCAAGTCAAACTCTTGATCCAGTACAAATTCCTTCTCCTTCTCCTTCTGATGAATCTATTCAATAATCACCCCCTCAGATGATCAAGAACCTAAACCCGAACCTGAGCCTGCTTTTGATAGGTTTAGACCAGTTGCTCCTTTTCCAGATAGACTTAGGCCTAGGAAACACTCCCCTCAAGAGGAGAAGATCCTAGAAACATTCAAGCAGGTTAAGGTTAATATTCCTCTCTTAGATGTAATTGAACAAATTCCATCTTATGCCAAATTTTTGAAAGAATTATGCACTAAGAAGAGGAGAATAAATGTTCCAAAGAAAGTCTTTTTAGCCGCCAATATCTGTGATATGCTCTCAAATCCTATACCTTTGAAACGTAAGGATCCAGGTTCTCCTATCATTTCATGTGTCATTGGTAATACTCACATTGATAAGGCGCTTTTAGACTTAAGGGCCAGTGTCAATTTGCTTTCACATTCAGTCTACCAGCAATTGGGTCTAGGTGTAATGAACCCAACCCGCTGCACTTTGTAGTTGGCTGATAGATCTGTCAAGGTCCCTATGGGTGAGTTGGAGGATGTTCTGATTAAGGTTGGAGATTTCATTTTTCCAGTAGATTTCGTAGTCTTGGAAACACAACCCGTTTCTAATCCCAAAGGACAGACACCTGCCATCTTAGGACGACCATTTTTAGCCACTTCTAATACTCTCATTAACTGTAGAACTGGTCAAATAAAGCTGTTCTTTAGGAATTTGATTACTGATCTCAACATTTTTAATCCAGAAGACCAACCAAATAACCAGCCTCTAGAAAAAAATTATATTCAGGAATGATCAAAAGAAGAAGAAGAAGAAGAAGAAGAAGAGTCTGATTTGAGTTTTGAGGAAATTTTTGATGAAGAGTTGGAGTTTTTAGACAAAGCAAATTAGGTCATTGAGAATGATAAAACTGTGTTAAATATTTGCTGCCTTGAATTAAATTTTGAAGAACTCTTTCTTGATGAACTTAGATTCTTGGAGAATAATCAACAACCAAATTTTCAGAACTCAACCATGAATCTTAGGGTTGAGGAAAATGCTACAG